CAGGGAAAGCAGTATGGAGGTTCCTCAAAAGACTCCACATAGAGCTCCCCTATGACCCAGCAATCCCACTTTTGTGCATTTACCCATATGTTTACAATCAAGACCACACTAAAGCTACCAGCACCACTATGTTTATTGCAGCATTATGTACTATAGCTAAGATATGGACCCAACGCAGATGCCCCTCAGTAGATGAATGGATCAAGAAAATGTGGTATATATACACAACGGAATTCTATGCCTCCATCAGAAAGAATGACATTGCCCATTTGTTAGGAAATGGAAAGGCTTGGACATAATTATATTGAGTGAAGTAAGCCAAGCCCAAAGAAACATAGGTCCCATGGTTTCCCTTATTTGCAACATCTAGTATATGTCTGAATCAAGCAGGAAAGGTCAGATAAGGGGATGCTAGGTAAATGAACCCTAAGATATGTATTCAAATGTTTTTTTTTTCTTCCATGCGATTGTTTCTAACACATTTATAAGATTATTTCTTGGGCTGGGAAGGTGGCTCAGTGGTAGAGCACTTGCCTTACATGCATGAGGCCCTGGGTTCGATTCCTCAGCACCACATAAGCAAAAAGAAAAAAGCTGGAAGTGGCGGTGTGGCTCAAGTGGTAGAGCACTATCCTTGAGCTGAAGAGCTCAGGGACAGCGCCCAGGTCCACGACCGGACCCAAAAAAAAAAAGATTATTTCTTTGTTGCTTTGTATGTCCCTCCCCTACATTATAACCCCTGCTTTCACTGTATTTGATGTTGGTATAATTTGTGGAGGGGAAGAGGAAAAACAAGTCGTTTAAATTGGGATACAGGTGCATACAGGTGTAAAAGTCGTCATGTCGAAAACGAACTTTACAACTTTCGTGCAGTTTAGGGGGTGGTGAGAGTTGGGGAGGATTGGGTGGGGAGGCAGGAGGAGGATGGGAAGTGATGGGAAGGGGAAACAAAGGAGAAGGCTACAATGCTTGATAAGAAATGTACTCATTATCTTGCCTATGTAATTGTAACCCGTCTGTACAGTATTTTCACAATAAAAAAAAAAGAAATAGACCAGGGAGCTTATCTCAGAGTAGCAATAAGTAAGCATCCATTATAGCTCCTCTGGCTTATGAAGGTCCAAGATAAGGGACTTGTTCCCCCTGAAATGACTCAGACCTGCATTTCCCAGTTGTGGTAGAAAGAATCAGTAGGGTAGTAGTGGTGGTTGTGGTGTTTATGAAATACATGTGCCATACCACCATATTTATACAATTCCAGAAATACCATTTATTGACAGGGAGTAACCTAAGGACATACAGTAAAAGAAGAAAACACGAAAGGTTAGTAAGTACTCCTGAGTTGTTTGAGAGCATTTAAAGAACATAGGTGAAAATAAAAATGATCATTTATGCACCATAAATAACCACTTATATCCTCCCAATTCAGAAATTCCACAGGGTAGTCCTCCCCATAGCTGTCATTGTAGGGATGTCTGCCTGCCAAGAGTAGGAATAGGTATCTCTCACCTTCCTAAGCCCCAATTTCCTCTCACAAACAAGACAATAATCAGCTAGTGTTAGCGGAACTTCTCAGTGTGCTGAGGGAAATAGAAGCAGCAGCTTGCCTGGTAAACCCTGAAGAGCCTGTGTACATGTTCAGGTTTGGCCCTTGGAATAGCTCTGTACAAAAGCAGAATTCTCCAAGGGTCTTGATGTAAGCAGAGAAATAAACAAGTCCTATCCACAGTTGCTACACTATGTAATTTCATTTTTATTAAAAAGTATGAGATATGTAAATTTTCAGTTAGCATGACAACCAGGGGAAAAGGTAGCTGTTGTGATTGGATCCAGACATCATATTTAAAAGAAAGATTTCAAAGAAAAGAAAAGACAATAATAATCACATACAGGCAACATAGTCTCAGTTGGAAGATAAGCTCAGTGGTAGAAGTAGGGAAAATGGTGAGGGTGATTGAGTGTAAAATGTATATATATATATAAATTGTATATATATCCATGTTCTGGTGGCTCATGCCATAATTCTACCTCTCAAAGAGGCTGAGTTCTGAGGATTAGGGATTATAGCCAGTCTACACAGAAATCTATGACACCCTAATCTCCAATTAACAAATCCAAATGATGGAGGTGGAGGTGAGATTGAAGTTGTAGGCAGCAAGACTTGAGGGGAATAAAAAGCTCAGAAATACTGCCAAGACTAGAACACAAGGAAATGTATACATTCTACTATACTTCGGATTGCATTGTGATATTTGCATATGTTTGTAATATATTCTCTTCACCATCACCCCAATGTCACATTCCCTACATCATGTGGTAATTTTAATACATTTCATTGTTATATTTTCATATATACAAATGATCAATATCAAGTGTTTCCTTTCTTCCTGTCAAAGTACTATATAAGCATATCAATAAGTAGATCAATAAAAGCTATTGAAATTATTTTAAGAAAGAGGGGGAATGAGGAAGAATAATTGAGTGAGTTCAATCAAGTAAAGTTGTATTCTTCTATTAAAATGTCAAGATGAATCTCCCCTGTGCAACTAAAATATGTTAATAAAAATACTTGGTTTTACACAAGAGTAGTAGATAGCCAGTATCCTACTTAACGGTGAAATCATATGTATTTATAGCATAAGATCAGCAAAAAGATAAATACATCCACTCTCACCATGTTTAAGTTGCACTGTACTGCAGTTGCTCGCAAGGTCAATTTGACAATACAAATACATGTATCTATGTAAATAGGAAGGGGTGTTATTATCTTTTTGTGCAGGTAACGTTAACTTTCTATTTGTGCCATCCTGGGGCTTTAACTCAGGGACTGTGTGCTGTCCCTGTGCTTTTTCATCAATGCTAGAGCTCTACCACCAGAACTGCAGCTTCACTTCTGGCTTTCTGATGGTTAACTGGCAATAAGACTCCCATATACTTCCTTGCCCAGGTTGGCTTTCAAGACCAAATCTCTGAAGTCAGACTGCTGAGTAGCTAGGATGACAGGGAGCAGTCACTGACTCCCAAAGCTGACATTATTTTTAACTAGAAAATCACAAGGATACACTGAAAGTTATTAGAGTCACTGGTGGAGTTCAATCCACTAACAGGGTATAATTTTTGTACAAAAATAATTGGATATATATGTGAGCAATGAACAATTTAAAATTAATGTAGGAAGTCAAGACTATTTACACTACATTAAAGAAATGAAAATGCATATATGGGTTGGGACTGGGGCTAGAGTTAGGGTGCTTGCTTAGCATGCATGAAGCCCTGGGTTCAAATCCTCAGTACCACATCCACAGAAAAAGCAGAAAGCACTGCTATGACTTAAATTAGTAAGGTGCTAGCCTTGAGCTAAAGCAGCTCACAGACAGTGCCTAGGCCCTGAGTTGAAGTCCTAGGATTGGTAAAGGAAAATAAAAGAAAAAAGAAAGAGAATAAAAGAGAAATTGATGAGAAATATAATCTTGGACAATGAAAAGTACACGACAAAGCTAGTCTTGGAATCACTCCAGTTTTTACTTGATCCTTATCTCCTTGCCTCTGAACCTATTGACTTTTACAGAATATATTTATTGGTGTTTTTCTTTATATTTTCATATGTGCGCTTAAGTTGAAGTCTATATACCCATCTATGTTCTATGATTTCCACTTTCATGAGGAAAAACTGAGGTCCACTGAAGAGTCCTGGAGAACCCACACTGGAGGACTGAATAGGAGGCACAAAAGTTTCCCTCCCTAAACCTTGCTGGAACCAATGTACAGGTTCAGCAAATATTACAGTAAACCTTTAAGAGACACACGAATAGGATCTCAGATATGAGGGAAGGAGACAACAGATGTATTCCACAGTCTAATGGATAAGGTCTGGGAAGACCAGTCTGAGGTTTCCTAGGTATGCAGCCTTGAGTTACCCAGAGGAAGGAACATTTAGGATCACAGCAAAAATAGGAATTCAAAACAAAGGATTGAAACACAAAAACAGACTGGTTGGGGGAAATGATCAAACTTCACCTCAACACACACTTACCCAAAACTTCACTCCTCTACCCAAACCCACACTCTTCCTGATTCCCCAAACCACCATCTCTTTAAGAGCAAGGGAGGTGGTGATCCATGGTCTCAGAAAGCCCTGTGAGGGAACCTGTCACGAATTAGCGGAAGAAATTATTAAAGACCTGGCAAATGGAGCACAGAAAAAACTCACAGATGGTGCCCAAGCTCTGAGTTCAAGCCACAGGACCAACAGCAAAAAAAGGAAAAGAAAATAAAAATGTCTAAGCAGAAAGACAAAATTCAGAAACAAACAACCAAAAACTCCTTAAGCTTTCATAAGTGGAATTTGGGAGTTTCAGGGAAATCGATTTTGAGAAATCTAAATTGAGAAAAGGATTATGCTTCCTATCTACCTATTTTATTTCAACGTCTACATTACAGCAGTGGAAAATGTTAGGGGCTGCGAATACCGTTTGAAAGTGAGAGGAGAGATATTCAAAAACTGAAGGCAAAACGGAGATGTAACTTATATTCAGGAGACCATAAGAGCTGAACAAAACTGAAAATCACAACCCAGTCTCATCACCTCAATTGCATGACTAGAACTAAGAATTAAAAAGCCAACTTATGCAATGCTCCTAACACATTTCCATCTTCGGGTTAGTCGTTGAATATTTCAGGAGCCACACAATAATTTTCAGGAAGAAACTCGCCTTTGCTCCCACTGCCAAGAGAGCAAGATATGCAGAACTCCATGCAATTCAGGGACCTGAGGTATGGCACTGGTCAGAATCCCAGGGCCAAGCCCAACCTGGTCCAGGTGGCGCCGTGCGCCGTGCATTGTGGGAATTGTAGTTTTAGTTGAGGCACAGACCTTGGAAAGTGATGGTTTGGGGCAGGGAGCGGGAAGTTCTTTCTGCGCATGCGTCTCCCCGCCCACTGTTGATTTTTTTCTGTCCGGTAATTCCGGGTTCTTCCCTTTTTCCCCTCTGCTAGAACTTCTGGGAAGTTCGGTGTTGCTTTCCCGAGGTCCAAGCCCCGAGGCAGATGCCCAGCCGCTCTTCAGGGGACCTTGGGAGCTGTAACTTGGAGGAATCTCAGGCTGCGGAACCGATGTCAGGTATGAAGGGCAAGCTGGGTGCAGGACCGAGTCAGCCCCACGTGTGCCTCCCGTCTGGGCTTGATGATTTGTTTGGGGTTCGGGTGCTTGTGCTGCCATTGGCCCGCGAGCCTCCAGAAGCCGGACACTGGCTCCTGGAACCCCAAGAGCAAGCTGGGTGGCTCTCCAGACTAGGAGAGCCGGGAGCTGTGCGTGTGATCGCCACGACTGAGAGATGCTGCCGGCACCCACGCGACCTGATTCACTTTGCCCAGCTGTAAGCTGAGCACGGAAACGGTTGTCGTGAACTTGTGAAGTGTGTGCCAGGGTTGAGTCTCCTTCCATGGCAGTTGCCTTTTGGGCTTCTGTGTTGTTTCTGCTAGAGGTGTCTCTGCTCTGCCCCTGCTTGGCAGCCTTCTTAGCACTCTGGGCTGGAGTTCACACGTGTTTGGAATCCAGCTTGTGGAATCTCCTTCCCAGGGCATAAGATTCATGTGATACTCTTTCCTCCAACTCTTCTCAAATCACTTGGTTCTGTTGGAAGGTTTAGACCCTCTTTCAGGAGGGGACCGCATCTGGCCTGAGGATTAAGACAAAGCCTAGTAATCAGAGGGGGCATGAGACTGTGGTTGGGGCTGGAGGGATAAATGTCACATCTGAAAGTGTCTCTCTATGTACTAGATCCCTAATCCTATTCTCACTGATTGATTCAACCTCTTCCCACTCTCATTTCTAGTATGGGATCCCTCAGAGTTAATCCAGATGTCTCATCAGTGGATTTCCTGAAGCTACTTGTAACATGTTAAGTTTTTCCTGGCCATTCAGGAAGTGTTGATCTAGAAACTTGGACTTCTATGAAAAATATATAGAAAAAAGTTGGAGGTAATGTATATTGCTCAAGGATACATGCTGCATACATGTAACATATCCTGAAGTTTTAGCTAGTGTTATCCGTTGTGTTACAATCTGCTCAAAGAATGTAAAGAATGTAAAATAATTACATAGAAAATTCTTTTTGGCATTTGAAGTCAGTGAATCATAAACAGTCCTTTAAAATATCATATAGATACAGATTGATCCTATTTTTATCCTCTTCATATCCTATGGCTTCTGCAACTTTAAAATGTTAGGGATATTCTCCACTATATTTGTTTCTGAGAAACAGAAACTTCTCCATATGCTAATAAGGCTATTTTACATTACTTAAAATGAGAGAGACTGCCTAAACATGCATTCCCAAACACTTGATAAATCATTTAATAATATAGAAAATTAAGTTAAATATAATCTAATAATATAATTTAAACGCAATTCTACATAATTGTGCAAAGAAACAAATGATCTGTGAATAACAGCATTTCCTGTGTAAGAGACAACCAACAAGTACCAAACAATTCCCATACCTATTTAAGTTTTATGGATCTACATTTTGGGGTGCCCTCAACTTGCTATTTTGTGTTAATATTGTTTAAATCACAGATAAGACTTTAATCTTCTAAATCCTTCCCTGAGGATGGTTGATTGGAATTGTGTCTCTCCTATGACCCAGTATTTTATGTTCATCTTATTAGGCCCTGTACCTTCAGCATTATGGCCAAGGTTCTTCATATGACTGTTCAGGAAAGTGAGCATAACTGACATAAGATCTTTAGTGATGTCCATTTGGCCAAAGTAGCTTAAATGGCAAATTGCAAGTCCTTGCATAAGGGTGCTCTGATTATTTGGATACAAGGAAATATGCCATTTCACAACCATTATTGAAACATTATAGCACTAGAAACATGCATTGCATATGTGTTTCTTGTATAACCTTTGTGAAAAATGCTGAACTATGCTATACATGATTTCCCTGGTGTGTGAATCTGGAAGTGAATGAGGTGGAGTACAAATGCCCAGTGGAGTGCTATTATTCTTTTGCATTAAAAGAAAAAATAGTTCATGCATCCCTAAGTGTATTTCAGTAAACACTAGTTTTAATGAAATGTGGTATGTTTTTATTTTTCAATTATTTTTGTGGGGTATTAGTTTTTAGGGATACCGAATGTATCTTAACCTAGAAATGAATTGCTTTTATTCTATCTATCTACCAATTAATCGACTATGGCTTCATCTTTACTGGAATGTTTGATTAATGCACTACTTCAGACATAAAACATACTTGTTCTCCCATATGAAGGCTTTATGCTTTTCCTGCCCATGGGTAATGTTATAAGCAGGAAAACCTGGGGCAAAATCACACAGGTTCTTTCCTGACTACCTCATTTGCCTTTTCTCCCAGCCATGCTTCCAGAATCTTCTGTCCATTTTCAACAGCAAGAAAGAACGAAAGGATCTCTGGTGAGTTGCTTTTGATTTCTCTGTTTTACATTCCATTTTTTGAACCTAATAGTGGACAAGATTGAAAAACAGAAAAACAGATTCAACTTGAGGAACATGCTCCTAAATCAGATAAAGATGGCTTGTAGGTTTTGCACATTATTAATCTGACATTCTGGCTAACATGAGTATAGATTACTTCAGTTTGTTTCTAGTTGTTCTGATGTTGGTAGTAGTAGTCAAACTTGTTAAGGGATTCACTGACACCGAGGAGGTGACTTCTCATGGAAGCAACTGGTCAGAGATCACATCCCCATGAATAACATTAAACTGTCCTAATGAAATTTTTCCTATAGTTTCTGAAAACTGTAGTCACATATACCTTCAACTATTGAAGTGTACTGAGTAAGATATGTGTACTTAAATTATTAGTTCTTCGACTGCTTCATAGGCTTTTTCTACTTGAAACTTAGGCTATATTTCATTATATAGTGTATTTCCTTTCTAGAAATCCCTCCATGTTTCTCAAAGAACTCCTGACTAGATTTTTTTCTGTATTTTGTCTATTCATTCTCTGTTTCTTGCTCTCTAGCTTTCTTTATCTCTTCTCTTTCATTTCATCTGTTTTTGTCTCTCTCTTTCTCATTGTTTTTCTCAGACCCTCCTCCCTCCATCTGTCTCTTGCTTTTTTCCTTGCTTCAAATGCTGTATCTGGGAGCTAGTATTTCTCTTTTCTTTATTTTTTTGTCCATTGTAGGGCTTAAATTCTTGGACCTGGCTACTGTCTCTCACCTCTTCAGCTCAAGGCGAGTACTCTACCACTTGAGTCACAGTGCCTCGTCCAGTTTTGTTGTTGTTTATATTAGAGCTATGCATCTAAGGGACTTCTCTGTCCGAGCTGGCTTTGAAGCATGATCCTCAGATCTCAGCCTCCTCAGTAGCTAAGATCCCAGGCATGAGTCACCAGTGCCCAACTAGAACTATTTTTTCTTACTGATCACTTTTCGTTTATTGACATGACTCTTTAACATGTTTTTACTCATTATAAAGGAAACTTGTTGCTAAATGTAAGCCGAGGTACTTCTATGAAGAGTCCAGAGCTAAAGAAAATTAGAAAAACACAGACAGAGAGATAGGGAGGAAGCAGGGGTCCTAAAGCTCACTGCCTGTTGTGCCCCGAATTCCTTCAACTAAACATCTTTATTTGGGTTCACACAAGCCAGGTTACCATGAGTACATCCCCCCCAAAAAAAGTAAAAAATCTCTATAAATATTACATTTAGAGCCAAACAGAGTTTGTGAGTTACGATTCCTGTGTTATTCTTTTTTTTGTGTGTGAAAATACTGTACAGAGGGCTTACAATTACATGGGCAAAATAATGAGTACATTTCTTATCAAGCATTATAGCCTCCTCCTTTGTTTCCCCTTCCCATCCCTTTCCATCCTCTCCCCACCCATGTTTACCACATTTTCTTGATCCATAATATACTGAGGGGCATCAGGGTTGGTTCCATATCTTAGCTATGGTAAATAAGGCTGCAAGAAACGTAGTCATGAGGGTAGTTTTAGTGTGGTCTTGTTTGTGAACATTTGGGTAAATGCCCTAAAGTGGGATTGCTGGGTCAAGGGGAGCTCTATGTGGAGTTCTTTGAGGAACCTCCATACTGCTTTCCAAAGTGGTTGAACAATTTTACAATCCCACCACCAATGCAGTAATGTTCCCTTCTGTCCCCATCCCCTCCAGCATCTGTTGTTATTAGAGTTCTTGATTTTAGCCATTCTAACTGGGGTGAGGTGGTATCTCAATGTTGTTTTGATTTGGATTTCTTTTCTGGATTTCCAATCTTTTCCATTGGTCCTGAAGTCTGTTCTTGTGCCAGTAACAAGCTGTTGTCATTACTATAGCTTTGTAGAAGAGTTTGAAATTTGGTATTGTTATTCCTCCAGCTGTGTTCTTTCCGTTGAGTATCGTTTTTGCTATTCGGGGTCTTTTATTGTTGCATATGAATTTTCAGATTGCCTCTTCTATTTCCTTGAAGAATGAGGTTGGAATATTGATTGGTATCGCATTGAATTTGTAGATCACCTTGGGAAGTATTGTCATTTTCACCATTTTGATCTTTCCAATCCAGGAGCATTAAAGGTCCTTCACCTCTTTGGTTAAGTTAATTCCTAGGTATTTTATTTTTGGAAGGCTATTACGAATAGAGTTGCTTTCCTAAATTCAGCCACACTTTTCTCATTGTTGACATACAAAACAACCATTGGTTTTTGAGGGTTAATTTCATACCCTGCTACTTCACCTAACTTTTGAATCAACTTGAGTAATTTGGGAGTGCAGTCTGTGGGATTCTTTAAATATAAGATTATGTCATCTGCAAAGAGGGAGAGTTTTACTTCTTCTTTCCCTATTTGGATCCCCTTTATGTTTGGATCTTGTCTTATTGCTGTAGCTAGGCATTCTAATACAAGATTGAAGAGAAGTGCAGTTAGTGGACATCCTTGTCTCGTTCCTG